ACTCAGATTCCGAACAGTTGGATTTTGTGTCTGGATCTGCCATTTCCATAGTCCCCTGTAGGGAGACACCGTAACAATGCCTCCTAAGGGCTGGCTACAGGTGTGCCTGACCACGCCTGTGAAGGCGTGGTCAAGGTGAGGTCAGGATGACTCATGATAGGTTTTTAAGGGGCTGCAAGGCACATGGGGGCCCTTCTCTCTGCCTGCCTGCCTTGCTGTCCCTGGCACGCTCTGGCTTGCATTTGGTTGGTGTTTATCTGAATAAAGATATCTTAACCTTACAGACTGTGGATCGGCTCTCATTATAGTCCCCCAATCTGTCAGAGGACAGGGAGGGTATGGGCTATCAGTTCTGAATATCTAAAATACGACACAAAGGCATGACACAGAGCTGAGAGAAGAGTCCTTGGCAACTGTGTTGTCTTTATATGTACTTTCAAGTCATTGTTATGGTTTCTTTTCGAGTTTGTTCAGCAAACAAAATACATTCAGTTTCTTTTACACTTACAGCTTTCTTGAAAGCAAGCTACAGCTGGGTTGCTGTTGACACTGTTTCAGACGGAAGCCAGCCAGGGGCTGGAGAGATGGCTTAGCATGCACTGTTCTTTCAGAGGCCCTGAATTCAGGTCCTAGCTCCATGCTCACAAATGCCTGGAACTCTAGTTCCTGAGGATCTTCTGTCTTGTGGCCTTTACTAGCAACCACACACACACACACACACACACACACACGTATGCACACATGCATGCATATGTGCACACACACACTGACAGCAACAACAGTCTCCACACAGTTCTGTGCCCATGGTTCACTCTGAATAACCTTTCCCTCTTTGCTCATGTGAGGATACTGCTAACAGCTCCTGTGAGAATCAGACAGGAAACACTCCCTCTTCTGCCCACATCCTTACAGGCGCGAAAAGAAGTTCCAACTCACAGAGATGCCCTTAAACTCTATGTAGTGGTCAAGACATAATCTGTGGTCATGGACAAGAACGGAGGGAAGCCAGGTCCTCAGGGACACCACCTGTGTACACTGCCAGTCTCAATGCCACCATGTCCAGTACAGCAGAGAGTACAACAAAATGCCTCTCAGCAAACTTATTGGCAACTATGGACTGGTTTTGGCCTAAGTAAGAAAGAACAGTGCCTAAAGGGAATAGAGGCATGCCATTTTGTAGGAAACCTCACCCAGCCTCCTCGTTTGCCTGGAGGAAGGACCACCAACAAAGGACAGTGACAATGCTCTTTCTCACCCTTTTCTTCTTTTATCTCCATCACACTCTTCTTGGGATAATGCAGGAAGTTGAGAGTGCCCAGGCAAGACTGACATTTCCAATGCTGAAACATAGATCACTTTCAGTGGATCATTTCCCAGAAAAAAATGCATATGACAAAAAACTGTAAATACAGTTTTAGGAAGCTGACTGGCACTTGTGCTGGACAGTTTTATGTCAACTTGACACAAGCTAGAGTCATCTGAGAGGAGGGAACCCCAATTAAGAAAATATCTCCATAGGATCTGGCTGTAAGGCATTTTCTTAATTAATATTGATGGGAGAGGGCCCAGCCCATGGTGGGTAGTGCCATCCCTTTGCTTGTGGTCCTGAGCTGTGTAAGAAAGCAGGATGAGCAAATCCTGAGGAGCAAGCCAGTAAGCAGCCTCCCTTCATGGCCTCTGCATCAGCCCCTGCCTCCAGATTCCTGTCCTGCTTGAGTTCCTGTCCTGACTTCCTTCAGTAATGGACAGTGATGTGGAAGTGTAAGCCAAATAAGCCCTTCCCTCCCCAACTTGGACTTAGTCATGGTGTTTCATTAGAGCAATAGTAACCCCAAGGCAACACTCTAATCCGATTGAAGAGTCTTTCTGGAAGAATGAAGAGAAATAAATCAAGGAGGGGTTACTGATTAGCCATGTTCTTTCTGCAAGACTAAAATGAGAAAGTGGGGTGTATCCAGTTTCTTGATGATGATATAAGATTGTTGTGCCTTGAACAACACGCATTAATGATTTTATAATGCTGGGAGTTGGAACCTGATATGGTTCAGTGGGGCTGTCTTCTTTCTGGAGGGTATAGGGAAGAATTTTTTCCTTTGTCTCTTCAGCTTTTAGAAGCTTCTCATGTTCTTTAATCATTCTCATCTCCACCTTCATCACGCCTCCTCCTTGTCTTTCTCTGACCCCCTTGTTTCCCTTGGATAAGGACTCCAGAAATGACACTGTACACACATGGATGGTCCAAGATCTCAGACTCCTTACTACCCACCTCTGCAAGTTCCTTTGGTCCTGTAAGTCACCATGTTCACTTTGTTTGAGAATAAGAAGAGAGTGTCTGTTATTGCTCAGAGCTCTCTGAAGGAAAAGAACTGGCATAATGATTATGAATTGTTAAAGAGGATTTATTAGATTGGTTTATTTAGGAATGGAATCTAATAGATCCTACAGACTGTGCCAATTATGTTCCATATGTTCTGGAGAATAATCTAGAGTTGTGTGCTTTCTGTTTTGGATGATTGCATTCATTAAGTAATCATATAGTCAGATCAGGTTACAGGGTGGGTAAAGAGTGAGTAGCAGATAGAAACCACGAGACAGAGAACATCTCAAACCAGGTGCTCACACATGCAGCAGAGGTGACTGGAGTGGCCCAACTGAGTGAGCAGGCAAAGGTACCATCTAACCAGGACAGGGGTACAAATGTCCAGCAGAAATCCCCTGGGGAAGCTTCACTGAGGCATCAATAGAGTGCCTACTGCCACCTTCCCCCTTCACCCCCAGTGATGCTTTCAAGGGAAAGAACAAAGGGCAATAGATAGATGACATCATCAAATCAGGCCCTCACGACATGCAGCAGAAACCAACCAGAGTAGTCTAGTCCATCAGCTAAGGTTCCCAGTTGAGATTTATTTCCATGAATGAGAGTCCCCGGCTGAAATTCCCGGTTTCCACTCCACCACACGAATTCTTACATTATGGAATAAAAATCATCATCTAGATTGGAAATCGTTCACCTTCTAATTGTTCTCAGGGCCACATAATTTTAATACTCTTAGGGGTTTGCTGTTTTCCCTTCTTCTTATTACCAAGTTAGGGGGACAGCCTGCCTTTAGGCAGAGGCAAGGGAGGGCCTCTTTACTCCTCAAATCCACTTTCAACGAGCTCAAACAGCATATGGTTATTTACCAGTGTAATGTGCCTAATCCAGAGAAGAGACAAGACTTCAAAGCAGAGAAGCTGACTGAAATAATGGGAGTGGCCCCATGATTGACACATTTGTTGCAGAATATTTCTTTACACTGTGTGAAGATGTGTCACTGTGACTGGCTTGATAAAGAGCTGAATGGCTAGGCCGGAAGAGGTTAGGTGGGGCTTCTGGGGACAGAGAGGCTTCTGGGGAGAAGAAGAAAAGTGGAGTTGCTAGCCAGACATGGAGGGGAAGCAGGAAGTGCAAGATGGAAAAGAGATAATGCCGTATGGCAGGAGGTAGATTTATGTAAATGGGTTAATTTAAGTCATAAGAGCTGGTGGCACCAGCCTAAGCTAATGGCCAAGCTTTTATAATTCATAAGAAATCTTCTTGTGGTTATTTGTGAGCTGGTGACTGATGAAAAGAAAACATTCTAGACACATCTTCCAAACTTCTCTGTCTACAGAAGAGTAGTTGAATGTGAGGCAAGTGTTGGCAAAGGTAAGAAAGTGTGCCTCTGTGCTTGAGAAGAGATGGAGTTGGCAAAGGTAAGAAAGTGTGTCTCTGCATTTGAGAAGAGAGTAACTCTTTCAACCCCAGAGGGAAAGTCCAAGTGGGCTCACTGTATCTACAATATAACTGTTAAGACTGGGTAATTGACAACTTCAAATGGTAACAGGGATGGAATTGGTAAGATTAAAGAGATGCTCAAGCAAATGGAGCCTGTCTTCCAACCAAAGTATATCCAGGGCTGGAGAGATGGCTCAGTGCTTAAGGTGGTATAGTTCTCCTGACAAGGGCCGTACTTCTGAAGAGTTCCAAGCACCCATATTGGGCCACTCCCAACTGCCTAATTCCAGATCCAGGGGATCTGATGCCCTCTTCTGGCCCCACAGGCATCTGTATGCACCCATACATTCAGTTTTTAAATTTTACATCATTCTCTCCTCAATGTTCTGGATACATACAAACCATTTAAAATTCTAAATCATTCAGATCTCCTTACCTATCCTGTTTAATGAAAGTATCCACACAGGTATATAAACCATTAGCAAAACAAATGAATATGAATCATCATGCATTAGGACTTTACATTTCTTTAAACTTTTGTAGATTTCACAGACTGCTAAGAAGCTATATTCTTAACAAAACTCACGCTGGGTATGCCATTTCAATATGAACTCAATATCTGAGGCAAAGGAAATTAAATCAGCACTTGAGTTGTTGTTTTCTTTTTTGATCTACACCAGACTGGTGCGTCTGGATCCTGCGATCAAGATAGAATGTCATTATCCTGGTTTTTTAGTCTGTGACCTGTCAGAGCGGACGCTGGGGTTTGAATGGAAGGCAGCACATGCTTCTGAGATACCTAATTGTGGCAACACAAAAATGTTGAATAAGCTTCGAATTGAAAATGTTGTCAGTTCTCTGCCTAAGCCTTCAGTGTAGAAAAAAAAAAAAAAACGGGCAGAAAATAGATGGTCGGGCAAAGGCTGTTGTTTCTCTGGTGTTCTCAGAAGGCAGTTTGCTGCTCTTGGCTTTGCCTTGCTGCTGGTTCTGAACTGAGGCTGGCAAGCAGACAAACAGCACATGACACACACACTCACAATCACACGTATACACTCACAGACACACACACACACTCACAGAGACACACACTCTCACACACATTCACAGACACCACACTCACACACACAGACACACACACACATTCACAGACACCACACACACACACACACACACACACACACACACACATTCACAGACACCACACTCTCTCTCTCTCTCTCTCTCTCTCTCTCTCTCTCTCTCTCTCTCTCTCTCTCTCTCTCTCACATACACATGCGCACGCACACGCGTGCACACGTGCACACACGCTCCATGCTCAGCTCCACATGTTGCTATAGCTTTGCACTGGCGTACTGTTGGTCTGCTCTCCTCTCTCCCCTTTAAATGGAAAGCCCTCCAGGGGAGTTTTGTGTACTATAAACAAGATCTCTGTAGGATCAGATAATAGGGTCTGCGTGAATGCAATGCAAAGTGGGAAGGGAGCATCGAGCCAGCATGCTAATGCTGATGGGAAATTATTCAACAGAGACTCGTATTGACAGAGGCTCATAATAATAAAACGCCACTCTCAACTGCCATTTTCTCCAAAGATTTAAGCCAAAACTGACATAATTCTCAAGAAGTCATGTCTAGACACAGACCTTAATGTGTCTCTCCCACAAAATCTGAACTTGTTTGAATGCAGCATTGAGGTGAAGAATGGGGATATGATTAAGGCTGATTTTATTTGGGTAATCAAGGAAGGCCTCACTTGAAAAGGAGTCTCCTTAAAAATGAAAAATTGAGTGGCGGAGAGAGCTCAGAAGGACCTAAGTTCAAACCCCAGAGCCCATATAAATAAAACAAATGTGGCGGCACATTTTTATAATCCCAGCATTGAGGTAGCAGGGACAGGAAGAACCCTGGGGCTTACTGACCACCCAGCCAAGCCTACCAGGCAGCCCCAGACCACTGAGAGACTTTGTCTTATAAAACAAAGTGGCAGCTCCTGAGAAACAGCCAAGGTTGGCCTCTAAACTCCATATCCACTTCTCCACACATGGACATGGATGCACCCATATAAAAAAAGAAGACTGGACACTGCCTAGATATCAACTTAACAGCCACAGGAAGATGCTGTTCTCAGTGTCTACGGGATGATAGAACGAGGCTGCTGCATCATGAAATCCCATATATGTCACAATGTTGATTCTACGTGTTCTTTCCCTTATTAATCAGAGGTAGATGTGCGTGTGTGTGTGTGTGTGTGTGTGTGTGTGTGTGTGTGTGTATCTGAGGCTGATAAAACCCAAGCTCCACTGTCAGTGGGCTGGCTGAACCAGAAGGCCCATAGTTCCAGTTTGAGTCTGAAGACAGGAAGATAAAGAATGATATCTCAGCTCCACAGTGGATGGCTGAAGTTGTTCCTACATATTCACAACAGGGTCAACCTTTTATATTGTTAATTGGTTGGCCGATGTCAACCCATATCAGGAAGGACTTCAGTACAGCTATTGATACCTTCATAGACACAGGCAACGCTTTCACAAGTGCCTGAGAACAGACAAACTGATATATGGAATTAGCTATTGCACTTTCTGTTACACAGCCTTGCAAAGACTCTTCCATCAATCTATATGATGAGTGCCTATGATGTGCTAAATTTTAGACTAGGTATTAGAAACACCAAAAGCAGACAAACAAACAAGTGAACTCTACTCTGTCAAGAAACCATGAGACCAGAGCCCTGCACAACTGCCTCTCTATAAAACTAGTTAAAAATGGTTTTAAAAGCAAAAACAAAACAAAACTACTTTTATGTCTTTTTTTTTTCAAAAAGTGGTTCTAAATGCATTTTGAAAGTAAAGGATTCCAGAAGAGCTACAAAACTGGGTTAGGACAATGAGAACCTGTGGTACTTGAACTAACAGCCATTCTTTCTTCTCCCTTCCAAATGCAGTGAGATGAAAACTATACTCCAGGCAAGTAGAGTCAAGACACCATGCCCTCTTTCATAGTGCTCCCACTCACCAGTTATGGCAGTGGGTACCACTGCATAACTACTCTTCTACAACAAGATGCCTTGTGTCATGGATGGCAATGTTCGAGAAACCCTACTGGGGCAACCAAGGGATGAAGAAATGGCACACTGAAGAAGCCACACACCCAGAAGCTGGGACCAGGTGGGCCATGCTTACCCTCAGAGAGGGCACCTACTCTGCAGCCTGGAAACTCTGTGTGTTCCATAGGTACAGCATATGAAGGAGGGGTTAGCCCGTCTCTGTGGGAGGTCTCTGTCGGAGAGCAGTCACATCCAGGAGGTGGAAGCTGCAGGTGATAGTTTCTGAACTCACTGAGTTCAGTGGAAGGATGACCATTCATATAAACACCAATATTGGAAGCAGAGAAAGGGTTTGCTGTTTCTCTGATCCTCACCACCCTGGGAAGGCATTGTCGTTTCTATAGAATCTGGGGCATTAGGGTCCTTAACATGGCTGTACCTTTGTCAACAATACACATTCACTCAGGACTTCATCCACTCCCATGAAATACCTGATGAATGGCACTTAAAGAAGACAGAGTTTATTAAGGCCCACCATTTGAGGTTCAGTGATGGTGACAGAAGCCTGCAGCGGCTGCTCATATTGCATCCACAGTCATGCAGCAGAGAGAGCCTTTCTTTATACTCAGTTCCAAGAGCCCAAGCCAAACACCTTCTAAAGGAATTGATGTCATTAAGGAGCAACTGTGAAGCTCAAACCTAAGGACAGTAGCAAGAGGCTGGTGATAGAAGACATCAAGGAAGAGGTCATCAGGTTCATCTGCGGTAAAGATGCGATCACATGCTGGCTAACCTGCAGGAGAGAACCAGAGAGAGATAGTAATGGGTAAGCTTGGGATGTCTGCTGATGACTATAAAGCTTAACAAAGCTATGATTAAAGAAAGAAATAGCCAAAAAGAGCCATGCTACTCTGTTTTTTTAAAAAAATGCCATCTTAGAGCAACCTCTGATTACCCAAGGCTGCACCCCACAAAATAAGACACAGCAGCTTTTACTTTAGGGGGGGAAAATAAATATTACTAGAATGATGGACTGTCACTAGAAAAAATAGGCACAATTAAAAAACAAAATCTGGGAGCAATAAGACAATATCACAACTTCACTGGTAAGATATATTACCTAAAATATCCAGTTCAACAATAAAAAGTCATTAGACATAGAAAGAAATAGTAACTCGTGAACCATAGATTAGACAAATACATGAGCAACATAAAAATGCTTTAAGAGCAATGAATTGTTGGGTTTAAAAAAGACTTCAAATAGTCATCGTAAAAGAAATTAGAGAAGCACATAAATGCAAAAATCACATGGAATGTAGAATATTAGTAAGAGATGGAAAATATTAAGAGTCAAATAAAAAATGTGGACCTGAAAAAAATGACCCAACATCTCGCAAATGTGTTGAAAACCATTTTCTGTACACTCAGGGAAATTGATGGGCTCCAAGTAGCACAAATGCCATGCAATCCACAAACACAAGTTACACTGAAAATGCTGAAAGCCAATTGTGGATGGACTCCCCAAAGCCACAAGAGCAAAATGGGTTAATTTTTTTTATAAAGAAACCCCAAGCCGGGTGTTGGTGGCGCACACCTTTAATCCCAGCACTCTGGAGGCAATGGCAGGCAGATCTATGTGAGGTCGAGGCCAGCCTGGTCTCCAGAGCGAGTGCCAGGATAGGCTCCAAAGCTACACAGAGAAACCCTGTCTCAAAAAAACCAAAAAGAAAAAGAAAAGAAAAAAAAAGAAACCTCAATGAGATCAATGGATGATCCAGTGAGATGCATGAGAGAGCCAAAATGTCCTAAAGAAAAGTTTGTTGATGGGTGTGGGGGTGCACATCTGTATTCCCAAGAGATAGAAAGCCAAGGATGGAAACTCAGAGTTCAAGGCCAATCCAGGTGCACAGGAAGGCTCTGTCTCAAAATACACGCATATATACATAAATATGTGTGTGAGAGAGAATAAAAAATTCTATAACCAGCAAAATTCTCATTCCAAAAATTAAATGGGAAGCAAAGGAATCCTGAAATGAATAAACATGGAAATAGCCTTTCCAGGGGACAAAATAGTAAGAACAGTTAAGTGTTCACTTGGTGAAAGTACTAAAGAAATTGCTGCAGGTTAAAAACAGGTGACCCCAGAAAATAACTCAAGTTCTTACCAATAAACAAAAAACCTCAGTAAAGGCAACAGGGTATTTGTAAAAACAAACACAATAATTGCAAAGGTCTCCTTTCTTTTCTCCCCTGATTTAAAAGCAATTGCATATAACAGTATATAATGCTTTGTTGGACCTTCAACTTACTGGAATGTATTAGCTTTGCCAATAAGAGCAAAAAAAGATGTGGGTGGGAACAAAACTACATTGGGCTAAGGAAATGATGCCAGATGGTAACTTGAATCCACAGGAACAAATGAAAAGAATCAGAAATTATAAATAAGAAGTTTAATATTGAAGAGGCTACAGCTATGTAATTTTTTATCTTTTAGTTTCTTAACTTCTTTAAAAGATATAAAACTATGCAAAGCAATCATTTTAACAATGTGTGTCTCACTCTTCAGCATTTATGGACGCAACATGTACAATAGTAATACATAAAAGTGAGGAAAGGGAATAGAATTATATAGGCATCGTATCTTTATAGCCTAGTTGGATTAAGTTAATATGAATCTCAAGCTGATTTTGGCAAGTGTAGGTTCAAACAGTAAGCCTTGAAGCAACCAGAAGGAACGAACTCAGAGTGGAAGAACTACTAGTGAGATTGAAATGTTATATTACAAAATATTTACTTAGAACAAAAGGCCCCAGCTAAAGAGAGTAGAGATGTGGAAAGTAGTATGAGAACTATAAAAAGTATAAAATAAAGGGACTTATGGGGACATTAATGTAATACAAATTAATTAAATAATCTTCTTAAAAACAGAGGTTGTTACAAAGGATAGAAACTACAAAATTTAACAGCATGTAGTTTACTGGAAGCATAATTTAAATTCAAAGAAAAATTAATTATAACTATATTTATAATTAATTATTAAGAGAAATGGATGAAATATAATAGTGTGAGACAAGATGAAGTTTAAAAAAAACCCTCTTACAAGACACAAAGAAAAACATTAGTAAAGGGGCCAATCTATTAGTAAGATGATGAACACATATGTACTTCGCAACAGAACCATCCAAATATAGGGAAATTATTAAGAAAAATTATCCCTGTTTCATTTTTGTTGCTGTGATAAAATACCCTAACAGTAGCAACTTTAGGGGAGAAAATTTTTATTCATCTTAACATCCAAGATACAGTCCATCTTTGTGAGAAAATCAAGGTAGGGAATTGAAGCAGCTAGTGGCAGCCACAGTCAAGAGCAGAGAAAGAATAAATGCAGGCATGTTTATTTATGCTCAGCCCCCTGTCTATACTTATATAGTCTGGGAAGCCCTGCCTAGGGAATGTTGCCACCCAAAATAGGCTGGGTCTTCCCACATCAATTAAAATTAGTAATAAAGACAATCCCCATAGACATACTCACCAGCCATCCTACTCTGTGTAACTCCATAATAGATTCCCTTTCTAGATGACTCTAGGGTATATCAACTTGATAATTAAAACTAACATGAAATATATAAAGAAGTGTACAATTCTGCTATGATAAGGGGCATTTCAATACCAGACCATTGGGTAGAACCCTATACATATCAATAAGGAAAATAAAAGGCTTGATCAACATTCTAATGTACATTCTGATCTAGTCATCAGAATATATGTTTTTCTCAAATGCACATTGATATTGGATGATATAGTCTATATTTACAGCCACAAAACAATCTCAGTAAACTTTAAAGGTTAAAATAATACAGTGTCAGTCACTTCAATTGCCACAGAATGAAAGTAGATGTCATTATCAGAAGGAAAAGTTCTGAAAAAAAGAAAATTAGAGAATGTCTGGAGGTAAACAAAATAGAAATGAAGACTATTAATAGCTTCCAGCCATAAAATCCTGTACTTAAAAGCTCTATACTTTCTCAGATCAACAACCTAACTTTCTACCTTAAGACCAAAAAGGAGAGAATAACAAGTTAAATCAAAAGTGACCAGAAACATTAAATAATAGGGATTAGGAAAAAATTGATGTAGTCTGATAGAAAAACTATAATGAAAATTGAAATTCTATAGTGAGTATGAATAAAAAGTGGAGTTGGGTCTTTGAAAAGAAAAGATACTTGACAAAGAAGAAGGATAAAAGACAAAATGAACAGAATCAGAAATGAAAGAGGAACCATGACTACTAATATAACAATAAAAATGTTATAAAACAATATTATGAACAATTATATAGTAAAATCTAATAATTTATGTCAAATAGAAAAATTCCAAAATGATACCATTGATATTCATATCTGCAGGTAAGAGGCAGAGAGAGAGCTAGACTTGCCTGGTGTGGGCTTTTGAAACTTAAGTGGAAAAAGACTGTGAAAGTACTTACAACAAGCAAAATGGTAACTCACAATGAAAATCTATCCCCAAAGAAGTCTACACCAAGAAATCTTCATGGGTTCGTTTTCCCAGTGTTTAATAATAGTCGACACCAATCCACTAGGTATGATTCCCCAAACTAAAAGAGAATCAACACTTCCCAATTTCCTATGAGATAAAATTACCAATGCCAGACAAAGATAGCACAAGGAAAGCCAACTGCATATAATATGTAAATGACTCAGGACTCAATAATCCTCACCCGAATTCTAGCAAACCAAATCCAACAGGATATAAAAAAAAAAATCTATACACCACAACCCAGTAGTATTTATACCAGAAGTACAAGATGAGTTATGTGGTGGTTTGAATGAGAATGGCTCCCATTAGGCTCATGCTTCCAAATTGTTGGACTGTTTAGGAAGGATTGGGAGGCATGACCTTGTTGGAGATGCTTCACTGGGGGTAAGCTTTGAGGTTTCAAAAGCCCACACCAGGCAAGACTAGCTCTCTCTCTGCCTCTTGTCTGCAGATATGAATATAATCTCTCAGTTACTGCTTCAGTGCCATGCACGTCTGCTGCTTTGCTCCCCACCATAATGGTCATAGACTAGCCCTCTGAAACTGGAACCAAGCCTAGAATTAAATGCTGTTTTTTTATAACGGGCCTTATTCATGGTTCCTCTTCGCAGCAATAGAACAGTAACTATGACAGGTTATATTACCCCAAACCAATGATGATAATGAAGTCAATGATAATGATTCAAAATAATAGAAAACTTAAATCACGTGCACATCAACAGATAAATCAAAAGCATTTGACAAAAACACAACACCTGATTATAACGTAAAAACCAATACAACATCATTTCTGGTCCATTGTTTAAGGAGCTTTGGTCATTACTCTCTTCTAAAACAACTAAAATCTGATCAAGTTGACTAAGCTGTTGCTTATTGGATGGCACAATATGTTCTCTGTAAGTCTAAAGCAAGTTTTATCCAGACCAAAAATTAAAACAAAATAACAAGCAAGCAAAACAGCACAACAACAAAAACAATCTTTCTGAACAAGAGCTATAGAGAAGGGCACTTAAAAAGTGGGATGACTGTGCACCTGTTTGCAGATACTGTCGTATAATTGTGCTGCTATTGTGGCTGAGTAGTGATTATTGATGACTGCTTCTAAGTGGCCTGTTGTTTGTTTGTGTTATATGAGCATAAATCAACAGACATTGCATTGGGTCTTAATGCCTGTTCCCTAGAACTTAAGTGAAATTTGAGTTTCCTATGAAAGCCTTAAAACCACGCTTTGGCAATATAAATGGGGTCATTACCTAGACTCTACAACAATTCTCTTTCTACCCATAGAATTAAAACTGTCAGGGATGACAAGTGGGAGTGTAGCCCACTAGACTCTTTCTACAGTGGGGATACATACTTCCTAGACCTCAATTGGAAGGAAATAGCTCTCCATTCTGCTGTAACTATTTCTGCAATTACCTGTGCCTGCCATCAGGCTGTGTGTGTGTTGAGAATAAAGACTCTGTCTTACACGACCTTACATCAGCCACATCTGTCCCTGTTGGCAGCAGAGCTGGGAAATGAAGGACTTAACAGACTATACCCACTGTCCTGTGCTGCTGGATACATGGTACATTTTGTTAAATGGATGTCTGATGTCAGAGCAGAAGTCTAAGACATATTCTACACTCCCTTCAGGGAAGTAAAAGTTGTCAGTGAGATCGAATTGCCAGGGAAATAAGAAAGCTGTAGGAGAGACTATACATATGTGCCTTACTTATTTAATCAACATTAAATATGTAAAAGAAATTCCAAGGGAAAAGAGGTAACTGGGGATGGAGTGATCAAAGAAAGGCCTGGAGTTCAGGTCATGGGAGATGCAGCTAAAACGTAGATAATGGGAGAAGGAGAAGGAGGAAGTGAGGGAATTCCCATGAGGAACGTTGGAAGATAGAATTCATGGAAACTCCCACCAGCCACCAGCAATGGAGGAGTGCCCCCCTTACTCCACACCCTCTCCAGCACAAGCTGTCATAAGAGTAAAAGACAACAACATCTTGAAATTTGCAGGCAAAAGAACATAACTAGAAAAGGCCATCCTGTGTGAGCTAACCCAGATCCAGAAAGACAAATATAATATGTACTCACTCATAAGTGGGTATCAGACATAAAACCAAGGACAACACGCCACAACCGCAGAGAACCTAGGTAAGAAAGAGGACCCCAAGATAGACATCCATGGATCTGCCTAGGAAGGAGGGAAAGACGAGATCTCCTGAGTAAATTGGGAGCATGGGGTCAGGGGGACAGTGGGAGGGGAGAAGGGAGGAGGGAAGTGAAGTGAGGGAAAATGTATAGCCCAATAAAAAAAGAAAGTAATGGAAACAGGAGTGTGAGTGTAAATAGAGCCACAGCCACAGAAGGTCCTCAGAGCACACTGTGAAAGCGAAGAACCTCTCCAGGCCTTTAAGGCAAGAGAATTAGGGATAGAGAGGACTCAGGGGTTAAGAGAATGCACTGGTCTTACATAGGACCTTTCAGTTCCCAGCACACACACAGCAGATCTTGCCTGACTGTAACTCCTGCTCTGTGGGATCCAATGCCCTCTTCTGGCCTTCATAGGCACCTGCACCTGCACATACACACACACACACACACACACACACACACACACACACCAGAGAGAGATCATTTTTTAAAAATGCATAGACATTATAGAACTAAAACTAAATATGAAATTTTTGGAAGACTGGGAGAGACAAAGGTTTAATCCCTCTGTTTGTGTAATGCTGTTAACAGCTACTCCCTCACTCGAAGATTGCTAGCCAGTGTTGACAATTTTGTTCACACACTGTGGTATTCTCTACCACCATGTCATTGAGAAAAATTTCCCCTCTTTGGGCTAGGAAGGTAGTTCAGTGGATAAAGCTCTAACTGGGTAGATGTGAGGATGAGAATTCAGGTCTACAGCAGCCATGTACGAGCCAGACAGGTATGGCATCCCTATGGAATCTCAGCCCTCAACTCTGTACGTGGGAGGCAGAGACAGAGATGCTACAGTAAGCTGGCTAGCTAGACTAGAGACTCTGTGAACTCTGGGTTCAGGGAGAAACCCTGCCTTAGTAAATAACTGGAGGGCAACTGAGGAAGACATCTGATGTCGATGTGTGGCCTCTGGATACATGCGCACACACACACATACACACACACACACACACACACACACACACACACACACACACGCACGCACACACACTGAATATGCACCTGAGTACTCATACTCATGTGTTTGGGAGTCTTTTTTTTCACTTGTACACACACCGGCACGTGACAATATGCAGATGTCCACATGCTGCTGTACATATATGGACGTGGGCATTTGCATGAACAGGTGCACAACACATCTCCCACTTTCCTTTCTTACCTGCTAAGACTTTTGCTCATTCATTAATCTCTTAATTCATTCCATTTTTTCCCACTGTCTTCAGGACATTAGTTACCCTACTAAAAGTGGGAAAACAGCAGATCACTCTCTTCACAAAACTAACATTCTGGTAGAAGTAGCTAACAAAACAAAAAGGAAATAATTACAAGAAAGGCAATCAATTAACAAGGCAATGGCTAGCCTGTAATAAATGGCATTAAAAGGTTAAGTCAAGGGTGGAGAGAGGACTCAGTAGTTCTTGCAAAGGACTGGGATTTAGTTCTCAGCCCTCACAGGGTAAATATCTGTAACTCTAGTTCCAAGAGATCTGATGCCCTCTTCTGTCCAGCACAGGTACTGCATGCACATGATGTGCAGACATACAACTAGGGAAAACACTGAACTCATTACACACACACGTCAAATGGTTAGTAGAGAAGGCTTATGAGACAGGCCCCCCCAAGTTCACCATAGGCCCTCACATGTCCATCCCTTCTTTTTTCCGGAGCATGTGGATATGCTACATTTCTCCACCTCTTTCTGCCTCCACACATGACTCTTCAAACTAAGGGAATGTGAGCAGGCTTTTTGGGGGTACTCGGCCACAATAACAAGAAAAGCAACTCATACAGGTGCCCTCTACACAATGGTGTTTCTGGTTTCAAAAACTATTTCAGCATGTGTGCAAATGTCTAGATGTTTCTGGTGTCGATGGTGACATTGCAAGTCTCTGTGTCAAGGTGGCTGGGACTGGCATGATGATAATAGTGTCAGGGAGCAAAGAAGGATTCTTGGAGACAGTCCATCTCCCTAAATCACTGGGACTTTTGATTGTTACCAGTATAAAGTGACCTCCTTTCAGAGACTCCTTCACTCCCTGAACCCACCTCCCCCCCCCCCAGAGTCTTTCTAAGGATGACCCATTTCTAACTAAGATTTCTTCCTGATAACAGGTTGTGAGGAGCCTTCATTAAGGAGGGAAGTTTCTCCCTCAATGGAAATGACTAGAAACTGTGAAAAGACACAGTTTGAATCGAAGGCCCCCTGCCAATAGGATGACCCAGTTAAGAACCAAAACAAAGAACAGATAAACCAGGGGAATACATGGCCCCCCACCACCCCTCCTTCCAGTGTCTGCAGGTAATGGAGGCGTCTATAAAGTTTTAAATATGACTATCTAATTTCACTCTGCAGAATTGGATAATGTCAGGCTCTACCACAAGGGTCTTCCCAAAGAAGTCAGGTGTGATTTGAGTCAGACTAATGATGTGAGTTTTCTTCCTAGCTATTGAAGAGAGGTTTCCCCAGTTCATCACATCCCTCTCTACCATTCATGGGAGAAAATCAGCCATGTCTGCTGCTGTTGTAAACACAACTCCGAAGTGATTCTCCATCTACTAATCTGGGGATGAGTTAGGTGTTGCACCTCTAAGAAAGATGGATGTAGTGGCAAAAGAAAAAATGCTTTTCAGTGGAGTGTTTGTTTGGTCTGGTTTGGTTTGGTCTGGTTTGGTTGCTCTATTTCAAATTCTTCTGACTTATCCACTAATGACTAAAGAGAATAAAGAACAACTGTTAACTTTCTGTCACTGTGACAAAGTACCCATTGTGGAATAATCTTTTTGTACACTGTGAAAACATGTTGCCCTCATTGGTTTAAAAAAGAGCTAAATGGCCGATAGCTAGGCAGGAAGAGGTTAGGCAGGACAATGGTACCAAGCCATGTGGTAGAATGTGGATAAGTAACATGGGTTAATTTAAGTTGTAAGTGCTAGTTACTAACAAGCCTAAACTATGGGCTGAGCATTTATAATTAATAATAAGTCTCTGTGTGGTTATTTGGGAACTAGCTGGCAAGACAGAAAATTCCACCTACAAATACCTGAGGCAATTAACTTAAAAGAATAAAGATTTATTCTGGCTCATAGTTTCAGGCCATTATTGCTTGTCCCTGATACTTTGGGTCTGTGGTAGTAAGTACTCCATGACTAGAGTATGTGGCAGAGGCGATCTATTTATTTAAGATAGACAAGATGCAGAGAAGCCAGAAGAGTCATCACCCCGTTCAAAGTAGGTACCCTATAACCCAGCTTCTTTCTGCTAAACCTCACTTCGTAAAAATGGTTCACCTCTCCTAAACCCACCAAGTTGATGACCAAACCTTCAGCATATGGCCCTGGGTTGGACTTTTAAGACCCAAACTATAGGCAATACAAGGTATGAAGCCAGAGCTTAAAGCAGGCAGAGGCAAGCATTCATTTTTTCCTAAAGTTTCTTATTTCATCTTTAAATTCTTGCATTTTTCTATCATACTGAGGACTCTATATTTACATTAGAACAAAAACAATGTGTCTTCCAAATGCCTGAGCAACACTGTCAAGACAAACAACATCATGCTCATCTTGGGCTCTCCAGGAAAATAACTTACCCTAAAGAGCAATTGTGTCTCTGAGGTAGAAGCATGTTTTTCTACAAATTCACAACAAGCACTTATTATAGTGTGAAGGCCACCTGCCATGAGCATGGGCGAGACAGCAGAAACATAGGTTCATAGACACCTGTTTGTCAGTCCTGGTCGATCATACAAGGCTGTCAAAAATGCTGGAGAAGAGCAAGCAAAGTATTTAAGATGGTGCCATGGGCTGTGGCTATTGGGGGTTAAGCAGAAATTCACAGAGTTATTATGGCTTATTTCCTTGAGACCGAAGGGTAGGTAAGGGATGATGGCAGCACATTAGAAAAGACTGGCAGAGTGTCACAGTAAATCTTTACCCAATGGTCTCCAGCTTCCAGTGAGCCCCATCCATTTATGCTATCCTTCTTTTTACCCTCTGCACTCCAGATGAGAAGTGACTAACTCTCTCCTGAAATTCCTTGGTGTGAGAAACCAGAGAATAATTGTAGCTTTGGGTTTTCTTTTCCCCCAAACCAAATGTGAATTTGTTTTTCTGTTGCTCTAGAAAATTGTCATTTTCATTGTAAAAAATTATGAGTGAACCAATATTCCTACTGTCTTCCTGATGCAGTTAGCAAATGCTAACCTTAGGGTTACCTAGTAGGGCTGACACTAAGGAAGCAGTTCGAGGCCAGGAAGATGGGGCTGGTGCTTTCTTCTCTTCCATATTAGCCAGAAAAGGAGAGGAGAGAGGTGAGGTTAAAAGAGAAAAGGGGGCATGTGATGAGAGAATGACAGAGAACACCTAGGCGGGGCCTAGAGGGCCTAATGTCTTAATTGGCTAGCACCTATGCTAAACAGTTAACTAAATCATTTAAACAGTTGACTAACAGATCAACATGGTTCTCCTCCAGGTGAAGTCAGCTCAGAGTCCTGTGAAGATATTTCTCCATCCCCCACCGAAGTCTCTTTTCCTAACAGGAAGCTACTGTATAGTAGCTTCTGTATAGGTCCTACGTGTTTGCAGTTTAGATAATCCCTACCCACTATTTAGGGATTTTTTTTTTTATGTTCCATTGAGTGCTTGCAATTACAGAATGTGTAACCTACTGATAAGTCTTTCTATAGATAAATTCATTATTTTTTACTCTACCTTATGGAGAATGTGCATTAACTGAAGACATCATCTGATTGTAACACTCTTGATTGTTCCAGGCGAGGATGTCTCAGCTCAAGAAGAATCTCCATCTCAACTTGGTGGGGCAGTGGCAGATCTGTCACATCTAATGACTTTTTTAATGTATTTTTATTTCTTTGAGGATTTCATACATGTATACGATCATATCTGCCTCCCATTCCATCATCTAACTCCTCTCAAGCCCCCACCGCCCCCACGTAATCCCTTGCCAGCTTCATGTCCTTTATTTTTAACCCACTGAGTCCAATCCACACTGCTTGTGTATGTGTGAGCATGGGGCCACTCACTGGAACACAGACAACCTACCAGGAGTCACAGCCCTGAAGAACACTGACACTCCCAATAGTTCCACAGCTAAGGGCAGGATAAATTCAGTATTTCATCCATCATTTCCATTTCCCTTTCAATTTGATTTTCCTTCCAGTATTTTTATCTTAATATCTGCCAGCCTGTCAACGCTTAGCCCCGTGTTTCAGGCTATTTCTTCTCTAGAATGCACCATAAAGGGCTTTCTCTGTGTAGTCACAGGTGCTGGGGATAATGTGTCTGCCTGGGAAATATGTTCCTTTGTGTCATCAAATAATGCTTTGTATTTCTCAGTGGGATCACATCAGCTCCCCCCCCACACACACACACTTAAGTTCTAGCACTCAATACCTCACTATTTTGTTCTTACTTTAAATGTGGCAAAACAGAAGCACCTGCAGGTTGTAGAATTGTAGGGAGCAGAACAACGCCATTACCAGTCCAAAATGTTATTACTAGAAAAGACTTCCAAAAAGCCTGACAGAATACCAATGTTCCAGGAAAGCCTGCTTCATTTGAAACACCATTTGCTTTGTAATTCCTTGACAATAGTATCCATTTCTGTGGCTTTGTAACAGAAGATGGATACTATAATACGCTGGGTCATGTAATATAATTCTGACAAATGCTAGAATAAAATCAATACATGAAAACATTAGCTTTGCCATATTGGTATGGAACACTATTTATGCTATTTCTGGTTTAATTAAGGGAATAAAAGGGCTGCTCTCTATTTTCAATCTCCAAGGTTAAGAAATTCCTTAAAACATCCTACAGTCTCTTAGTGATTTTGTACGTTGAAAGAATATTTTATAGTCATATTTTATCCCGTGTCATTCCTTGAATGCAACTCTGACATAAACTTAGTATGCCTTGCATAATTGTAACTGAAGTCAAGATATCCCACCATTAAACTGGAGTTTTGATTTATGTCTCTGGAGAAACGAGTAGATGTTAAGAAATGTCTTTTATCAATCTTTCAGACTCCTTAGGGGGAAAGATACTATGAAAAAGATGAAGGTGAAGAAGGAGGAGGAGTAAGTGGAGGATGGAGAGAAGGTGGAAGAAGGTGAAGAAACAGGAGGACGCAGCAGATATAGAAAAAGAGGGAACACCATAAATTGTCCCCCAGGTTTACTTTCCAAATAGAGTTTTCAGAAACCATTTCATGGATTTTTTTTTTGGTTTTTCAAGACAGGGTTTCTCTGTGTAGCTTTAGAGCCTATCCTGGCACTTGCTCTGGAGACCAGGCTGGCCCCGAACTCACAGAGATCCGCCTGCCTCTGCCTCCCGAGTGATGGGATCAAAGGCGTGCACCACCAACGCCTGGCCTCATTTAGAAGGTCAATTTTCCACAATAATACACATCAGAGACTTTTTCTGAGAAATATGGCAGTCAGTGACCAAGTTGGGGCTCAATGATTTCCAACTGAGCAGGTATGAAGAAGGGTTAAGGGAAGGAAGAAAAGAGACAGAATTTCTTGGGCATTTTCTTCGTTCTGGGCACACTTTCTGACTATTTACATATACTATGTAGTTATCCCTTGGTTTCCATGGGTGTTAGTTCTAGGGCCTCTCCATCAAATACCAAAATCCCTGGATGTCCAAGGCCCCATGATAAATTGCTGAGAGCCTGCTAATCAACTGCCCCCATCACCCTGTTTTCTTTAAACCATCTCTAGAAGACTTGCCACATCCAATACAGCACAAATAGCTGTCATCTGCTTTGGGGGGAGAATGATGAAAATGAGAAGAAAATACATACATATTCAGTATATAAACAATCTTCTCAGTTATTTTTAGTCTATGAGTGTTCAGATTCATGGGTGTAAAATCCAAGGATATAGACAATGGACCATTGTTTTATGAGTGTTTGGACTCATGGGTGCAAAATCCAAGGATGTAGACATAGGACCAGGACCATTGGTATAAAATTGAGGTCCCAAGGCTGAAAAAAATGCCCTCGATCATATAATGCACAAGGAATTCAGTCTAGTTGTGTTCCATGGTTTGTGTTATTTCTAACACATCTGAGTTTGTCTCACAGGAAACCTTTGGTATGGCCAGCAGAGTAAAGAGCCATAGAATTCAAGGGAAAACATTGCAAGTAGTCTTGCATCTGGAAGCTGCCCACACGTAGCCACTGAATCAAACCAGAGTACGCAGTGATGGACATTCCTGTGGGCTAAGATATGAGACCCCCATAGACCCTGAGAGGTCCTTTAAGAGCTCTGGATGCTCTATTTCACAGAGATCTCCCTACACTCTGCACCATTTAGGGATACGGGAAGGAAAGTCAGTAACTGCAGTCCCCTTGTTGTGACTAAACCATGTGGTGGGTGAATTAATGACATATTCTGCACTTTGCTATTTGGAGCTTTAAAATTTGGGAATGGGGATGGGGATGAGGGAGGTCTATACCTGAATTAGTTTAGTTCTTCAGGTGAATCACCTTCACATTTCTTCTACTCAAACCAAGAAACCCTAATAATTTTAGTCAGGCCTCATGCACACAGCATCCAGACCAGCCATTATACTCAGTCCCCATGCTCATCCATCAGTCATTGTAGCTGCTCTGGACAGAGTAGCCTCAAGGCATCAGGAACCATGCCTTAATGTTCCATCAGTGGTGACTAGGACAATGCCTGGCGCATAAGTGCTATCTCCAGTCTTGTTGAATTTCACTTGATTTCTAACAGCAGTTTGTAATTGGAAAGGAGCCATGCAGATTTCCCAGGGATAGGTAGAAAATGAATAGCACAGACAAGGCTAAAAGCCAAGTGTGGCCCATCACTTTTCCATACTGTCTTAAAATAGAAGTGGGCTCAGTGTCATTGAGAATTGTGTCTGTGACTTGTACTCTGGCTTGCTAGTGACTAAGTCATGATGAGATTAGTGGAGCACCTCTGGGGATGTCTATGATGGTGTTTCCAGAGACAATTAGACTGTGAGGACTATGATATAATGAACAATTACTCATTGCCATTATTGGGAGGTGCTGAAAAACAGGGAGGTGGGGTCTATTTGAAGGCAGTAGGTCACTAGAGGCATGTCCTTGGGGTCATGGCTTTCCTCATCTCTTTCTATGTCTCCCTTTTCTGCACATTCTGACAGACTCATGACCTCTATCCATGACAAGCCAAACCCTCTGAAACTGTAGACCAAAATAAGCCCATTCTTCCTTTTTAGTTGTCTAGTCAGCTATTTGGTCCCAGCTACACACAGGTAACTAATACAAGCCCCAAGAGCAGCACTCTGCAAGAATTAAGGAAATGTATAGACAAGAGGCTTTTAACTTCAAGCGACAGAGAGCCTATGCCAAGTGGCTTGGATAGGGAATGCCATTAGCTCCCATAAATGGAAGTCCAGAGGTACTTTTCTATGGGGTACTGAATGCTCATATGGTGTCAGGCAAAAAAGCAGGGAACAGGACTGAGACCAAGTTCAGGATGTCACCTTCAAAGCCATCTCTGTGACCTACTTCCTCCAACCAGCACCCGGCTAATGAAGGTTTTATAGTCCCCCATGTTTGTGCACCACCTGAGGGACAAGTGTGCAAATCATGAACCCATGGATGACCTTCTAGACTAAAGCAGAACAGCTGGTGAGGTGCTACACATGGCATGTGTCTCTGCCTTTGTTACTTCTCTCATGGCTGTGATAAGATACACTGACAAAAGCGACTTCAGGGAGAAAGGGCTTATTCTGGCTTGCAGTTCAAGGGTACAGTTCCTCATGGAGGGGAAGTCAAGGCAGCAGGGGCTTAAAGCAGTTGCTCACATTGCATTCACAATCACAAAACAGAGAACAAGAAACACATGCTTCTACTTGTCCAGCTTTCCTCTTTTGTGCAGTTTAGGACCCAACCTAGGGCACGGTACTACTGATGGTGTGCAAGTCTACCCACCTAAATTAATGTAACCAAGATAACATCCCATGGACATACCCATTTCCCAGGTAAATTCTTAATCTCAAGTTGACAACTGAGATTAACTATCACAAGTCTCTGGTCTGTCTCATGTGAGTCCATGGCTCCACCCTCTTCCCTGTTCTTTTTGCTTAAGCTGCTGGCGAAAAGTAACTGTGGTCCTGGGCCCTCCATCTGCACTCTAAAGGCCCAAAGCAAGAGAAGCCTATCTTCTATTCTTCTATTCTCTATTGAAGACAAGGAAACATCTGGAATCCCAAGAGGCATTCCCTTTGGTCTCATGAGCTTAACTGGATCATGAATGCCTTCAATGCCCCCATCTTAATGAATGCTGTACATGAATGGAATTACAATGATTGTCTCAGACCCATTAGGGTGCATACCTGGGGGGTGAGAATCAGGATACATGACAACAGAAGGATGCTATAAATGTTAAAGAGGTGATCTCAAAAGCCAAAGTATATGTAGGGCCAAAGTTTACTTTATCAGCACAAGTGTTAACGAAGCAGAAATATAGTACATGGAAACACAGGACACCAGTGTTGGGAAAAACTTCAGAGCTCCAGCTCCCACGTGATGAATGGTTTCCTCTTGCCATATTTAGGATAGTCATCTATCCATGAAGAGAAACTCTATTATACCTGAGAGAACAGTTTATTAGCAGTTGCCTTCAGCTGGTTTCTTGTCTCCTGTTTCTCCTCCTGACACAGCTTCAGCCCCCTTTCTTACTCCATCACACCCTCACTCTTTCCTCAGACTCTGTCTTCACCTCCCAAACACCACCACTGTCTCCACAGAGAGACTTGAGCCCATCCTGAGAACAGCCTGATGGCTAACCTCACATCACTTTGCTTTTGCTCTCATTATGTGTCTGTTTCAGTTTTCACAGCCAAGATTTGCCTCTTATTCTAGCTCCTAACTTCCTAATGGGATGCACTGTCTGCCCTTGGTTTCTTCTGGTGTCTACCTATACCAAAACCCGAAGATACTCAAGTCTATTCTACAAAACAGAATAGTAAGTGATTTGCATATAACCTACATATGTCCTTCTGTACACTCTAATCTCTAGATGGCTGCCAATATCTAATTAATGTTAAAGGCTGTGTGAACAACTGTTATCCCGAATTGGTTGGAGAATAATGATGAGAATATACCTGCTCAATACAGATGTAATTTTTCCAAATATCTTTGATCTGAGGTTGATTGAATCTACAGATGTGGAACTCCTGGATATGGTGGCACGCCAAATGCCAGGATTATGGGTCTCCACATCTTCCTTTCCCAGTGCAAAAGCCATGGCCACAAATCCTGTCATCTCTCCCTTCTCTGAATCTACAAACCTGACTCTTTTGGATGACCTTTACCTATGTCAATTCTTTGTCTTTTCTGCTTGGAATTTTCCAGCCATAGCCAACACCTGGGTGTTTTGCTGTCAGATCCATATTCTAATATTTACCTTGATGGTGAGGAGCAATTTCTAGCCCTGCTCCCTTCCCCATTTGGAAACCTAATGCTATGTCCTTCTACCCTCCTCTCAGCTCTATCAGTTTGTAAGATTCATTGACACACTCCGTTCCTAATAGGATCAATCTACTCATTGTTTCTAAAGACAACCCAGTGAAAAAGAGTAAAACAACCATCTCAATAGGATAAAGTTTAAATACAATCTCCAAGTAAGGAGAGATCTTACAAAATAACTTTGTTCAGAATTCTAAATGCTCTTCTATTATATCTGTGTCTTCTTATAATTTAGTGATTATAAGTTCAAAGTAACTGGAGTTCTAACAAGTGGGTCCTCTACTTGGAAACACTGTCTTGAACATTCTACTAAACTTTGGGATAAATGAGATAGAGGGTCAGGCTCAAATCAAAGGTCATATGAAGTCCAGATAAGCAATGACCAACAGCTGAGTGATGGCAGAATGGAGACTGGCAATCAGATTTTCGAGTTTTCTGAATTATGACAGATAGAGATAGATATATGGATGATAGATGGATAGATAGATAGATAGATAGATAGATAGATAGATAGATAGATGATATATATGTAGATAAACATGATGGACAATAGATACAGATGGTGAACAGATAAAAAGATGATAGATAAATAGAAATAGATAATAGAGATAGATGGCAGATATAGATAGCTATAGGTACAGTTGTAAATAACATAAATGATAGAGTTGTTAATTAAATGATATAAAGATGATAGGTTATAGAGAGAAGATGGATGATAGATTGATGGATGGATACAGATAGAGGCATAGATGATAGACAATAGCTAGATATAGATATGTGTTTTAAATTACATGTAGTCTATAAAATGGTTTTGTCGTTTTTTTGTTTTTAGATTACTTTTCTCTCCTTCATCATTCACATTTCAATGGAGGAGAGACTGTTAAAAAAAATGGTTGCAAAAGCCCTCTGTATCTGCAGTTCCACATTAGTGGAGTCAACCAACTATGATTGGAAAGTATTTAGGGAAAAGATGGTGTCTGAGCTAAAAAATCTACAAACTTTTCTTTATAATGTTTTCCCAAACAATGCACTATGATGACTATTTACATAGTATTATATGACATTTACATTATATTAGACAGTCTAACTATTCCACATTCCATCTACACAAATGCTATGCCATTTTACATAACAGACTCAAGCATCCTTCCATTTCCCAGCCATGGGCACCCTGAAGGCCATGAAATATGTATACTGAGGGTGACTGAGCTTTTTAACTGAAGGGTCACTGAGATAAAAACATAGCTAAGTTTCTTTTTACGTGACTACACCAGTTCCAAATTTCTGTAAACTCCTCAGGCTACGAGCTAAATGTCCTGATTTCCACTTCAAGGCAAGAAAACGCTTCTGATTTTGTCAACGGCAAAGAAAACATGGTTCACTACTTTGCAGGCAGTTCGTGTGTTCAGCTCACAGTATCTATTATGAATGCATCATGAGTCAAGCTATACTTGGCATATCTGTGAAAGTGTGTGAAGCTCTCATGCAGAACAGAAAAACAATAACACCCATATCCGTGGATGGTGATATTCTGGGATAACCATATGTGACTAGTGTATCTTCAAAATATTTTATTCTGTTGATATGTGTAAGGCTTGACAATGCTGTTTTCCCGGCCTCTGATGTTCTAGGAGGCTACAGAACTGTCTGCTTAGATTGTCCTTCTTTTCGTATTCAAATGCAAACCTTACAACAGAGACACTCTTCCAGTAGAACATGCTAATTGAGCCTTCAAGTATAACAATACCTGATCTTTAAAAAAGAGATTATTTTTGCTTTACATGTATGTATTTCTTGTACCATGTGTCGTATGTATGTGTGTCATCTGGTGCCCATCAGCTGCCCTGGAACTGGAGTTGCAGATGTCGTGAGCCTCATGTAGGGGCTGGGAACCAAACCCAGTCCTGGGCAAGAGCAATGAGTACTCTTAACTGGCAAGTCATCTTGCCATCTCCTGTGTCTGTTTCTTAGGGTCACAAAATAGCTTTGGCCTTTAACAGAAAGTGTTCCTAATGAGTTATACAGCAAACAAATCCCAGCTGGCACACAGCTAGTGAATGTTTCCAATAGTACAAACATTTTATGGTATAAGTGTTTTAATGGAACCAAACAGGGTTCTTTGGCATCTAGACTAGTATACCAGCGTGAAGGTGGCATCCCAGAGATATGACGTTCAGCATTTGTTTTATGTAGTGATTGGTACCCCATATCTACTTAAAGAAAGGACTTATGTCGAGACTTGGAGTGTAAGAAGAAAAACAATTGAAGTAAGTGAAAAAGCTGAAGGCAAAGGAAAATGAGTACATATCTCAAGATTCTGTGGAATTGAAGACGTAAGCAAAGTCATAAGCCAGTCCTAGGATGTTTCCTCTATGAAATATGCATGTGTATATCATATTTTATAGAACCAAACACACACAAATCTGGACTTTGAAAGCAGAGAACTTATGAGGCTGACATTTACATTTCAAATGTATTTTTCAGTTTACAAAACAATTCATCATTATATTCCTTTAAGTGGTGGGACTCTTGAATTTAGAGTACACGCATGCTGTCATAGATAAGCTCCAGATTCCTATTTGCTATATAGGGCACTTTCAGCTATAAGAGAAGCATAAATAAATATATTCTGTTGTGTGATATGTAGGTGTGTGATTTCCATGTCAGGATATGACATCAACGACTCTACTCCAGAGAGTCTGTCAGAGACATAGAGGGTCCCAGGAGCTAGTTCAGTTTTAGAAAAGTGTTTGTTTCCCAAGCACAAGGGCCTGAGTTCAATTCCCCAGAACCCATGTAGGAAGGATGGGCATGCTGTTGCATGCTTACAATTGAAGCACTGGAGAAGTAGCAGCAAGTAAAGATCCCTGGGGCATACCAGCCAGCCAGCCTAGTCTACTTAGTGGTTGTTGCCTGAAGAATGATGCACAAGGCTATCTTCCGGCCCCTACATGCATGTATGCATGTGTGGACAAGCACATACACAACATGAGAAAAGATTTAGATCCAATTGGAGAAGAGAGTCAGAATATTCTCCAATCAGGCCAGAATTCAACGAGTTTCAAAGCTACAGGTCGGTTTGATGGATTGCATGTCCTGAATCTTGCTCGCAGAAAGAAACGAACACCTTCCTTACTGAATAAATCCCTTATTGATTGAACAAATTTCTTATTGATTCCAAATGAACAAATTCCTTATTGATTCTGAATTCATAGGAATTTAATCAACAGAGTGACCTCAGGGCCCATACTGAAGCTTTGGGTTGGTGCCCCAAGCAGTATAGAAGTGGGCAGTCAAACTGAGAGGACAGAGATACAGGGCAAAAGGAAGAGACAAATTACTGGGTGACATGGCGGGGACACAGTTGGTCCTGAAATAAAATGCATGGGAGTCAGACAAGCACCAAAATCTATAGCCATACAAGGCCTGGAATGGGCTCCAGACAAAGAGAAGGACTGTTTGACCTTTCTATATTTATCTCCCAAGCAGAGATATTCCTTTGAAAGTTTATTCCCCTTGCAAGACTGCCCTTGACATCCCTTTAATCACCAGTATTAGAGGCACCAAAGATAAATAACTCACCCCCTCGATTTGAGCTGCGAGATCCCAGGGCATTTCAGACACAGAAACTTTCCTTGGCAATCTTTCTTACTCTGTCATCTTGCTATTTTTCTCAATAATTTCACAGCTAATCCTGTGTGTGTGTGTGTGTGTGTGTGTGTGTGTGTGTGTGTGTGTCAATAACCAATCTGGACTAAAAGCAAGCATCTATTTTGTATCTTTACAAAATTAAAATAAATTCTAAAGTTTAGATGCATAACTTTCAATTATCTGGGCTTTCCTTCAGAGATACTTCTTATATCAGAGATAGTGTGGTTATGGGGACAGGGCAGAGAGGGTAGGATCCCAAGACCTTGCAGATCACCCAACCTGTTGGAAACAGGGAGTTTCTAATTCAAGACAAGAAAGAAGAGAATGATAGAGGAAGACACCACAAGTCCTCTTCCAGATTCCTCATGCTTGCATAGACTTATACACAACTGTACACTCTTATGCAGAAGACACACACACACACACACACACACACACACACACACACACACACACACACACAAATACTTATATCAATTTTTTTTAGACACTAAAGTTTTGTTTTTGAAATAACCAGTGTGGTGTAGGTCCACTCCTTTTCATACAAAATCTCCCAACAGCTAAATCTAAAGAAAACTGTGCCTTTAAATTTTTGTTTCTTGTTGAGAAATTTGAGAGGCTTTTTTTGTAATTTATTTTTGCATTTATTGTTGGATAATGATGCACTACAGAAACATGTAAAACACAAGCTGTCTCTTATTTTGTTGGGTGACAAGTTGCTCAATTAAAAACAGGTTATGTTGCATGCCCTTAGCCCCTCTGAGCGGATATTGTATTGTTCAGAATAGTACATGTCACCCTAACTTATTTCCAATGCATCTGTTACATTAGTAGGTGCTAATTAAACATGTATTTGTGGAGTGACTTTACATAAGACCACTTTGCAGTTTCCTGGATTATTTATGCAACAGTTAGGGATCTGTGGGTCACAAATCCTACTATAAGCTTTGCTTCCTAAAATTATTAATGGAAAGTGAAGTCCCTCTAACAGCTTTTACAAATGCACTCAGAAAATATCCAAGTCCAAATACTAAAGCAAACAAAAATGTATTATTCATGCACACCATGTCCTGTATTTCCCAGAAATTTGATAAACCAACAGAAATGTTCATTGCAGGAGGTAAGGCTTTAATTGAAGTTCCTCACAGTTTTCCTTTTGGAAAACCAACCTGCCTGGGGGAGGATCGTCACTATAGGAAGAGGGAAGATGTCAAGATTCTCTGGTGGCTGGGGGATCAGTATGGCCTGGTAGGTTCCACATTCTGATCCAGTGTGGTCATGGCCCTTCCTGGTATTCCCATGCCTCCTTGTAAATGCACCTCAAAACCTCACATCTGGGGTAGAGAACTAGCTTAGTTAGTAGACTGCTTGCCCACCATGCACAATGCCCTAAACTTGAGATTCCACAACATAGGAAATTTGACGTGGTGTGTTACATTTGTAATCTCAGCATTCAGGAAATAGAGGCAGGCAGTTCATAAATTCAAGGTCAGCCTTGGTTACATAGCAATTCTGAGACCAAAGTCGAATACATGAGACCCTGTTTTAAAAAACAAAAACAAAAGTCAACTAAACAAACAAAGCACAACCTCAATCTGAGAATTGCTTGAGGAACTCACCAACCACTCTTCTCAGATTTTCTGAATGGTGTTGTAGCATTGTGGTGCGCTCTTACTGGAAAAGGATTCCCTACCTAACTATGGTAGTTTCCTTACCTTAACCCTTTCAAGGCTCCGGACTCTCTTCCTTCTTGGAATGCCATGTCTATAAAACAAGAAATAGGTCTTGGTAAATTAAGCTGATGGCCTTGATTCTTATCCCAAAGTAGTGTAGGGAAATCTCAGTAAAGCTGAGTTTGTCTCTGCTTAACTTGCTGTCTTCCAAGTTATTTGATCTCAGAAACTTTCTCCTAATGATAGATTGGCATCTCTCGGAGCTATCGAGAAAATAACCTGGGAACATTACAATATAGCATCTTTAAAGACTGTTCTAACTCAAATGGCCATGGTGGTCTTCTCCTCTTCTCTCCCCCTGAGTCTCCCTATCCTCACACAAACAATATCTGAATGTCCAGCTCTCAGGGTGGCTTGCCTAAAAGACTTCATATAGTCAATAATTAAGTATAAAAAGATACTTGAAGAGCTGAAGAGATGGCTTGCTTCCATCTTGCTGCTCTTACAGAGGACCTGGATTCAGTTCCCAGCACGCTTATGGCAGCTCACAATCATTTGTATGTAACTCATATTCAGGAAATCCAACTCCCTCTTGTGGCTTCTATGTGTACCAGACACATATGTGGTGCACAGGCATACATGAGGCAAAACACTCATACATACAAGATAAAATAATTTGTAAAAAGTTACTTGCATCGGGATATTTTCTCTGCCTGCCAGTCACATAGTTCATGGCATTTAACACAGAGTACAGTAAGCTAAAGAAAGCTGTAAAGGCTGACTAATGCTCACTGTGATAGGACAGACGCGTGGGGTTTCAGCCAAACCTTGTAAATTTAGCGAAGAATATCAGAGCAACTCCTTCTGTTACCCTAAATGTCAGGGGCTCTTGCATTTTCATGAAGAACGCACAGGTCTTGGTTTTTAAAGGTCTTATATGAGCATGTTCATGGAAAATCACAAGCTTCTCTGCACTGAGAGGATGTATTGCTACAATTAGAGACACTAGGAACGTTGACCTGGAAATTCCAGTAAGCCTTTGTGTTAATTAGATCAAGGGCCAGCACTCCAAGTGAGCTCCCGATGACCTGTCTTGGGACCACTATGACCAAGCCCTCCCAACCCGAGCCAAGTTTCAAACAAAATATATCATGTTTTCTTGCTCTGTCATCTGAAATTTCACTAGAGAAACAATACTCGTAGTGGTATCTTGTTTTGCCAGTGAACTTGGGGAGGTGGCCACATCTTAGGGCATGCCTTCAGGTGTGCGGACATGATGCCTTATATAGAAGAGGAGCAGCTCGCGCGCTCTCTCTCTCTCTCTCTCTCTCTCTCTCTCTCTCTCTCTCTTTCTCTCTCTCGTTGCAGTTGGAGCATCTTGAAGGGCAGGGACTACATCTCCAGGAGCAGGAAGACCATGGTAATTATTTACTATCATTGTTTAAGTGCTCCCCAAATAAATACCTGTTAATTCTTTATCTGGTATTTGTGGATCCTAAAACCCACCTTCATATTCTATTTAAAATCAAGTTCCATATAAATACTAGATTGGACTTATTTCTTGTTAAAACATAGTGTGTGTGTGTGTGTGTGTGTGTGTGTGTGTGTGTGTATGCGTGCGCGCGCGCAGGCGTGCTCGTGATGTTGTGTGTGCTCATATTCATGTCTGCACATGTGTGTGAGTACTGCATAGCACAGGAAATGTGTAGAGGTTAAAAAAAACTTCAGGTGTCTCTCCTATGAGACAAGGTCTCAGTGCTATGTTCTAGGCTAGCAGCTTGAGAGTTTGGGGAAGTCTCCTATCTGGTTGCAGGAATACTAGGATTATGGATGAAGTACACCACACCCAGTTTTATGGAGATTCCAACTCGGGTCCTCACTTTCAAGGCAAGTGTTCAATACATAGAGCCATTTTCCCTGTTGTGTGTATATAGTGCTCGCCTGCATGTATGCATACATGTATGCATATTGCCACATGTATTCAGTGCTCTTGGAGCCCAGAAGAGTGCACTGGATGGATCCTCTGGAACTAGAGTTATAGACTGTTGGGACCCACCATGTGGCTATTTCGAACCAAACCCAGAGTCTTTGCAAGAGCAGGAAGTGCTCTTGACAGTGGAGAGACCACATCAGCAGCACGCCCATGGATTTCATTATAATCTTGTTACAATTGTCCCTGAATCCTTAGGAAATGAAAGCTTCTCATAGGAAATGGTTTAGAATTTTCACATAGCCTATCCCTCCCTCATCACCTTTACTTTCCAATGTAAATTCCATGTAAATAGTGGTTGTACTGTATTGTTTAGAAAATAATAAAGGACCATTATCCAGACATATTCATGGTAGACATATTTTTCCAAATATTTTAACCTGTTTTGTTTGATATATTTTATATATAATTTATATGTGTATATGTGCACTTGTGTGGGTTTTTGTGTGCCATGTGTGTGCAGGATCACACAGAGGCCACAAGAGGGCAATAAATCCCCGAAACTGGAGTTACGAATGGTTGAGCACTTTCATGTGGTGCTGAGAACCAAACCCAAGTGATTAGCAACAGCAGTACACACTGATACCCATGGAGTCATCTCTCCAAACCCCCAAATATTTTCAGCTGCAGTTTATCAAGCTCATGGAAACAAGAGGCACAGCTACAGGGGTCAACTCTGCTTCCTCTCCAGGGTGGCTTGCTGATCTCTAGCTTATAACTTGGTAGACCCAGTTCTTCCTAGGCTCTGTTCCACCATGAAGTCCATACATGATCTGTGGAAGATGAACTCTGTTCTAAAGGGTCTCGATGCCTCTCTTCTCATAGTCACAGTATTGCTGAATCTCAAGCAAACTAGGTTCCATTTGAGTCTCATTCTCTCCATTTGATTTCTGACTTGTAGTGTGCCTAACAACTCAACTGTTGCCAGACAAACTGCCTCAACATTTCCTGTCTCATCCATGTTTCTATATTGCTTCGATTCACCCAGCTTTGACTTCCCCACTGAAAGCCACCTACAATGATAGCCAATTCTCATTTATACAAAATGGGTCCATTTCAGCATAGTGGGCCACAGAGGAGTACAAAAGAATGTTGACTGTGCCCAGTAAACAAAGCTCATGGCTGCTGGGCTATGCCATATTGCAACTAAATGGCTGTATTTTGAGTGTGCTGGATCCACCTCGGGATGCTCTCCTTTGGCGTCTGGCTGGTTTTAATGTTCTCTTAAGTGTGTGTGTGTGTGTGTGTGTGTGTGTGTGTGTGTGTGTGTGTGTATCCTGTTTGTACTAAGTTCCAGGCATTTACCACAGCCTGGAACTTAGTAAATGAACGTGAAACTCTCCTTATGAGTCTCTTCATCCCTCTGATAGGTAGACCTTAATAATACTCATG